AAAAAAAAAAAAAAAAAAATTCCCTGTTACTAGAATATGCCCTTTCAAACAATACTGATTTGTTTGTCCTTCAGAGAGTCCTCCAGTATCTACATTAGCAAGTACCTGATGGATGAGGGCGCACACCTCCACATATACGATCCAAAAGTACCCAGGGAACAGATAGTGGTGGATCTTTCCCATCCAGGCGTCTCAGCAGATGACCAAGGTAGGACTGTCCCACAGAGCCTTTGGGTGAAACCCACACAGCTGGCTTGTCTTTGAACCCTTTATTGAGGAGTTGTTTTTCTGTTGCTTCTTGTCAGTGCGTTGCCCAGTATTCAGCCTTGTTTCTCTAAAATTAACTCTTAGCCACTGTGTTCCCAGCTTTGAACTGACGTTATCAGCTGTGCTTTAATCTGGTAGTGTTTGCTGGAGCCAAAGATACAGCTCAATGGTATTTACAAAGCCCCAGAGACCCCCAGGAAATACTTGTGAAGAAAGTTTGGGGGTGCTCCTGGTCTCACTTCCATTCATTCACTGTCAGACACTCCTGCAGGACGAGTGTTAAAACACGTAACTTCCGGCGGGGCCTCGTCTCTCATCTCTTTTGGTCGTTGCTGTTTTTATAGTGTCCAGACTGGTGACCATTTCCAAGGATCCATACGAAGCATGTGATGGAGCCCACGCCCTTGTCATCTGCACTGAGTGGGACATGTTTAAGGTGACGTCTCAGATGACATCAAGGGAAATTCTAGAAGCATTCCAGTGCGAGCACTAGTTGGGTATGTGTCTACATGTATGTTCTAATTATTCCCTTGAATGTCTCCACAGGAACTGGATTATGAACGGATTCATAAAAGAATGCTGAAGCCAGCCTTTATCTTTGATGGTCGGCGTGTCCTGGATGGGCTCCACAGTGAACTGCAGACCATAGGCTTCCAGGTAATCAGGACTCTGGGCTGGCTTGGTTGGTTGGTTGGTTGGGTCTGGTCATGGTTATTTTCTTTTAGTTATTATTATGTATATGTATGCATGGTTTTGGGTGGGGCATGTGTGGAGGTCAGGGGACAACCATGTTAGCCCGTCCCTCCCTCCTTCAGGTTTGTGCAGCAAGTACCTTTTCCCTCTGAGCCTCCTCAATGGCCATGGACGATCTATAAACCCACTGTGTGGGTTTCAGAGCGTCATATTTTCTAAGTTAGCAGTAGGACAGTAAGATAACCAGGACAAGAGGCCCGTTCTCTGCAAAGTCTGGAGCTTTGGAAACTGTTCCATGCCTTCCCGTTTGTAACCTAAGGTTGACTTCCTTCCCTTGGCAGTAGGAGGGTGTCAGGTGCCTATCATATGGAAACAGCTTGTGCCCTCTCTCACCCCATACCTGGAAGGTCAAGTAAGACGACCCACTGTGGTTACATGAGTGTCATACCCCAGTGAAGCCGTGGGTGAGGGGTAGGGTTTGACAGTGGTGGCCACTGAGAAATGCTTCACCTATCAGCAACACTGTCATCCTCCTGTGAGAATAGCTACCATCCACCTCGCCAGGTACCCATGGTCATCACCTGGTGTTCCTCCGCAACTTTCAGACACTCAGTACTGTCTGTGTGCCATGAGAAGTCTGAGGGGAGAATATGGGCCTTAGGACCCTCTTTCCATTCACATTCATCGACGTGGCGCTCGGGAGAGCTGACAGAACAGGTCCAGAGCCTATGTGTCCCACCTGTGTGTGTCTATCTGTGTGTCCCACCTGCCCCTGCTGTGCCAGAGTTCTGCAAGTACTAACAAGTTTCACTTGCTGCCTCCTGGAGCCGTGTGGACACGGAGTAGAGGCTGCTGGCAGAGTAATTTATGGAAGGTTAAAAACAGTTGGTGGAGTTTTGAATTTGGATGTCTAATTATGGGGGGTCTTAGACAAGTTCACAACCCCAAAACACTGACGTGAGACGAGTCACATCGATGGTCGAAGGCTTTAGGCTGTCGACGATGGGCAACGTCAAGGGACTCTGATGTGGGTGAAAGGAGGGTGAGAGCCCTGTCTTAGGCCATGTAGGCTGCACCCACTCCCAGCACCACGCACTCCTTTTCGGCTGCATTGGGTGGGCCCCTGGGAAGTGGACCTACAATAATCCCGTCATTGGGCTAACTCACAGCCATCCTAGTCTCTTGTAAATGTTCAAGTTACCAACCATTTGTCAGTTTGGGGTGTAATATTGTCATAAAGGAAGGCTCCCCAATGTTAGCGGCCATATCAAGGGTGGCCTTGGTTTAGGAAAAAGCCAATTTTTGTTGTGGTGATCAAGAGGCCAAGCTCTCTAGCGAGAGAAATGAGGGCAAAGCCAGGCATACCAGGAACCCTTCTGGAGGGCGTGGAAGTCTAGGGGTCGACCGTAGGGGGAGGCAGGGGAGCTGACAGCTGTGTCAGTCTCCTGCGGAGTCACTTCTGGATCCTCTGCAATTTTCAGCTGATGGTAATGAACTTCAACTGCCTTCTTGATGTCTTGTTCTTACATGATCAATTATTAGTAGTGAGATCAAGGCCTAAATTTATTTTTTCATCTATGTATACTTAAAGTTTCCTTTCAATGGAGATCAATATCTATCTATCTATCTATCTATCTATCTATCTATCTATCTATCTTATCTATCCCTTTTCTCTTTGTATAACTTGAATAGACATCCTTTCTGATGCATTTAACTTTAAATTGCCTTCTATATTTCTGTATGATCCCTTTTTTTTCAGCCTATTAATTTGTTATATGAAGCTAAGAAATCCCAAAATTTCTGTATAGCTCATGTTCAAAGAACCCAGCTGCTTGCCCTGACATAGATCTTTTCAAATTTCCTTTAAAGCATTCTTCTCTTTTCTATCCTTAAAAACAATTAAATCGGTTTTCATTCATTCTGTCATCTATGGAGATTATTATCTCATTATTATTTGCTGAGATAGGGTTTCTTGCTATCTCCATGCCTTTGTTTCCTATATTTGAGATCAAATTTCTTCATTCCATGTATACTTGAAAACAATTACCAATATATCTACATCCTATCTTTTAAAACAATTAGTCAAGTCTTACTCATTTATCTCTATCTTTTATTATCAGCTTCTACTGTCTGCCTCTCTCTGCCTTCATAGCACCCTGTCTCTTTGTACAGCAGGTGCTGCCAGCACCTCCGAGGTCAAACTCTCCAAGGCAGCTAGAAGCCTTTGAGAAATGCTCAGGGTAAATCCCTACCACCCAGATTTTTCCGGGTTGGCTTGGGAGACTTAGTCATGTCCCAGCTTACAGAATTGTGCACACCAGTTCAGCAGGCCTTTTGTTCTACTTCTGAACCTGCGTGGTTTGGGGAGGAGCTACATGGCTTGGGCAAAACCCACAACTCTGCTAGAAACCAGTTCTCTTCACCTCCTAAACTCATGTCATGGTACGTGTTTTCCACTCAAGACTCTCCAGTTAATTTTTATAATAAGTTCGAGCCCCGTATTGGGCACTATCTGTAGCTGTAGTTGGTTAATCCTCTCTAATAGCCCATCTGTGACAGCATGAGTTCCTAGCTTCCTGACCCAATGGTTTGGGTTTGTGAATGAAAGACTCCCCCCACCCTCCCCCCACCCCCATTCTTATATTTAATTATTTCATATGCCCTAAGCAGATCAGTGGCAGGAGCACTCCAAAATATCCATGGGGCTAAAACATTCTCTTCACTGATATTCCTGAATTATTATTTACTAAAACCTACATTCTATTCTGGCCACCCCAGTCTGCAACTCTCCTGGGCCACAATCCCTAACTCTTACATGTTGGCTGTCTCTCCATCCTGCACCTCTCATTCCTTATCCTTCTGCTTTTCTGGCATGGTGGTACTAACTCCTTCTTTTTTCTCTATCTCCTAGCCCATAAATCCTAAAGTTCTGCCTGTGTCTCGCTGCCAGCCATTAGCCACTGACGACTTTATTTACCAGTTAGAACCAACTGGGGTCAGAGACCTGCAGCGTCTTATATGTGGGATTCTTGTGCAATTTGGGAACCCAAATAACATAATACAAGCATTAAACCAAACCCAAGACAGAAGTCCCCCTCCCCCAATCAGAATCTTGCTGTAGACCCAGAGCCTCTACTTTCAGCAGTGTTAAAATTCCTGTAGGGTTGAGTCAAAGGAAAGGTTGCATTGATATTAGTCTGGACTTGAGCGGGTAGCCCATTTGCTCCCGGGAACCAATTTCTGGACAGTTTCCACAATCCCCTCTGTTGAGAAGCAGACCTGGAACAATTCCTGACAGTCATCCCAGGTGGGCAGGTTGAGTCAGTATGATTGAATCTATTGAGAGCTGAAGGTCTTTCTAAAAATGGAGAGTTCTGCAACTTCCAATTGTAAAGATTATTACAGGCAAATGACACATATTTCATGAACTGTCACCCCTGAGGACCTAGGGGTCCCTTAGCCCAGAGGGATAAGGCCATAGTAGAGTTAGTCCTCTGGGCAGTATGGCTCGAGTGTGAGGTGGACTCCAAGTGGAGTCAGGAGTGCCAGGGGTGTCAGGGTCTGCTCCTCCCTCTGCTCATACTGGCAGGAACATGAGAATGGGGACAGGGATCCTTCTTGGGAGCAGAAAGGGGGAGCAATGTAGGGGACCAAGGCTGACCCTCCTTTAGAGGAAGAAGGGTAGGGAACATCGAGGCCCATAACAAAAAAGGTCTCATCCAAACAGGGGCTTCTCAACCAGGTATTGCCATGTGGTGACATATGGCTTTTGGTCCAGGTGGCTGCAGGCCTCATAAACTAAACCGTTACCCTCTAGATGATGGGGAGATGGAAAGTCTTCTCTTCAGGCCATCCTATTTTATATGTGGGCCATTTATTCCTGCAAATTATGGTTTGTTTTTGGGGATAAACAACAGGACCAGAGTCTTTAAAATGGTTTAGGACCAAGCCCAGTGGGGTACTTTATGCCTGTTCCATCCTAGAAATCAAAGAAAAATTTGTCCAAGAGGACAAAAAACACAAACAAAGCACACAGAGGCAGACACAGAAGGATGTTCTTGGGAAAATAATAACAAAACAAAAAAACTGTCTCAGATGGTCTTCTTCCCTGTGCATGGGAAGCCCATAACCCACAGCCAGTTCGGAATTCAGATAAGAACTGACAAGTTTTCCTTTTTCTGTTAGATGGTCAGATGTGTCCTCTGTTATCTCTGGCCAGGTGAAAAAATATGTGTCTACTTTGTCTCTCTTGGCCTCCAGATTAAACCTGAAACAGAAATACAGATTAAACCCAAAACAAAAACAGAGACTGTCAAGACAAAAGACAACCCAGTGCAGTGCCTAGGCTTACCAATCAAAACACTCCACTGTTTCAGTCAGGGGGTTTCTAGCAAATTTTGGAAAAGAGCCCCCAAATGTAAGGGTGCATGATTTGCTGAAAAAAAAAATGATATCTTGTGTTCAATAGTATGTAAACACAAAGAATGTTTTTATTTTTTTCTGCATAAGTCCAGCATGCTGGGATCTACCATCTACGAAGACCTATTGCGAAGTCTTTACTTTTATTATTTACGTAAACTGTTAAAACAGTAAAAACAAAGTTTTCAAGTTATTTATACATAGTGTGTAGAAAACATAAAATATGTACAAAATATATTTAATGTATAACATGTACATTAAATTGACATGATATATCACATATACCACATATATGATATATTTAAACATAGGTCATAGTGAAAAATACTTTTTGAAAATAAATGGATTGAATATTTACATAGTCTATGGAGACTGAAGTAAAGGGTTCTGCATCAGATAACATGTAAAGAAACTGCCTTTGAAAAAGACATATACTATATTTTAAAATCAGAAACATCTGAGGAAAATACTAAAACCAAAACAATTACAGGCAGATCTGAGAACAGAATATTTAAGGGATTCCTGTCTGATGGATGACCTAAAGGATTCCTGTCTGGTGGCTGTCCTTTTGTGCTACTTAATCACAATTAAATTATCTGTTAAGAAAAAAGAGTAACGGAACAAATCAATGTATCAAATAATGAAGGATGTTTTAGAATATTTTTAATGCAAGTTAGATAAGGTAATCATAGATAAGTCAGGCTCTTGATAGAATTATAAAAATGGTCCTTTGTTTACTCACGTTCATTTACTTGAGTGCAGACACAGAAACAGTATCAGTGGGCTTTTGATTCTAGTTGGAGATGTTGAGCAATCTGACAAAGAAGACTCAGGGTAGTGATGATAGAGTGATTGAAATGAAAGATTGTATGATAAATAGGAAGCATACAGAATCCACAGTCTGTAACTGCACGAAGTGAAGAGGGTGATGGACCTGGAACCTCAAAGTGGTTGCTTGAGCTAGTCAATGGGAATCTTCATGAAAATGGAATGCTTCTGGTTTTACAAGGAAAAAACTTTCAGTATGATATACATAGTAAATCTGGAGGAATACTGAGAATCATCAAAATATGAAACTGGACAGGTTTTCTATGTGGCCACTCAATTTCCAGGGTCTCTGGCATTAGCAGAAGAAAGACATCATTTGAGCTAACTACTAAAATTCTTAGTGAAATGTCATGAGTTTCTCAGGATTTTGGTAGATGACAACTGAAAACAAGGGTTTTAAGAAAGTTCTGAAAGATATCTATATTTCCCCTGAACACCCATGCCCCAGTGTCATCCCTTTCCCCACGTCCTGCCTTTTTGTGTTTATAACCCCTGTGTGAATAAGTAAAAATTACGATTTGAAAAAAAAAAGAAAGTAAAAAGTTACTTGATGGTAGCATGCTTACCTAGGATTCTCATGGCCCTGGGTTTAATAGCTAGTATAACAACAACAACAACAACAAAATAACTTTGAAAAGTATTTAATATCATGATTCAGTTTTACGTGTGTACAGTGTGGACTAAATTATGTAACTTGAGGGACTGTTGTGATGA